ATGGTGAATTTAGCTCACCTATATTCATGATAGAAATCAATCAAAATTTGCAGTATGCATGTTTTTAACCGTGACTACTCTGTAAAAAGTAGACTCCATGTTATTTTTTTATTTCTTGAGCACTGTTGTTTTTGCTGGCTTTAAATGTGGAGCATAGTGCAACTATTGTGAGAGGAGAATGAAGTTTGAACTGTATGCAAATTGCACACAATCGAACTTTATCTCGTAAGGTATATGGTTCAAATTTACTAATTTTTGCGAAAATGTTTGGCGAGGTGACACGTCAAGCTATTATGACCTTCATTTTAGTTGAAAGCCTACATTTTGAGAGAATATGATTTTATATTTTAAGAAGCAATGGTAATTTTCATAAAGTAATTTTCATAGTAAAATATAAGTTTAAAAATATATGACCTTAAATATTTTCGTTTCACGTGTTGAAAAATGTTAACAATTTACGCCTGGTCTTATATACCACGTTTTAGCCTCTTTCCCCAGAACCCAGAAGTACCCATGCTTACAGAACTTTTGCCTGTGTACCCCTCTTCTCTCCCTGGGGCACTATACTATACTATACTATAGTGAACCTTACAGGAGCATGATGTAAGACACACCATACGACTATAAGGCCTGCTGAATTATGTAAAGTTGTTAATAACTAGTTCATTGTATTTCAGTGAGTTCTGACACTTGTGGAAAGCCAGCAATTCCCCCTAATACGAATTCCACAAGTATTGCAGTGACAGGGGGCACTGAAGCTATTCCGGGAAGTTGGCCTTGGCTTGTGAGTATGGACGTCATTGCAAAAGATTATTTGAGATAATGTATCCCATTTTGAGCATCAATTAAGACCCCGTGCCATGGCTATGAATACAATGTTGTATTCGAAAACGAATACTGTAAAATACTTTATTTTAGCTGGAAATAATTTTCGCTTAAAATAGAATTTGAAAAAAACTATTACACAGACAGGGCAGTTGCCAATAACGTCTACCTTGATGGTTTGAAAACACTCGTGAGACGGGGTAGCTATACAACTACGTACATGTACCCCGGGTACGCACCGGGGCGGGGTAGGCGGGAGTTTTGTCGCATTTAATGCAAATCGCATTATGGGGACGTGCCGCCATTTGGGGTCGTAATCTTTTGCTGTGTGGTATAGAATGGGGTATAGATTTGCTTTCCTTTAGGTCCAAATCAGGTTTGCCTGTCTAGGATGGGGCCGGGGGATGGGATCTGTTTTTTTAATTATTTGTTGATGTACTTACCCGAGTTTTAGTACTTTTATTGATGGGATATACAAAACCATTATTTGGTCCATAATGGCGTATGGTTTTTCAGGTGGAAATGATCTATGAGGTTTTACTTCCCGGTAGCACACCCTGTCAAACTGAAATGTTTTTAGAAATGGCGTGGCTGGAATACATCCTCGTGACCACGAGACGACCGTTGTTTCGTCGCGTGGGAAAGGCGACATTCTTTAGTAATCATTACTTTTGATGTTAGTTATGTAAAAATCTCAACGCCTCGCCTCGCCTCAAAATATAGAACGTACCAGAAAATCACTCATAGTTTTCTAGATAGACAACTAATCTGAGTTAAAGACAATCACAAATGTCACTGTTCTAGAGTGTACATTGTGTACATTCTAGACTGGAAACATTGTTGATTCCACTTGCATTTGATCTATCATTGTTTTCGTTGGGCTCGTGGCCGCCGACTCGATGTGAAAATAACTGAAAATGTTAACCTCTAGCACATTAATCAAATGAACAGTCTTGAATAGAAAATAAGATTTTGATTTTTGTACTTCATTTCAAATTAGTATCGTTGAAATGTTGCCATTACAGACTTCGAGCTAAAATGCCATCACAAACACAGCTAAAATCTAAATTGAAATTACGTGAAAAACCATAATGTGATATACCGACATTAGCCACGGACTCTTTTAATGTCAAAACACTTTAATCATATTGTCATGTCGACATAAACTTCTGGTTTCTATGTGAGAAGAAAAACCTTATTATTTTGGAATATTTGTTTAACCACTGTATGGAATAATGGTCAGCCATTAATCTTTAATAATCGCTCTCCCCGAAACTGTGATTTTGATGTGGTAGCGAATTGACGTGCTATCACAGATAAAAGTATAAATGTTCGTTATTTGATGATACTATGAATTCACTCGCGTATTTGAAATTGGCATGCCACCTATGCTCATGTGAAAGATAAGCAATCTATAAATATCGATGAAATGCATTGAAGTTCATGTCACTTATCTGTTTACTCAAATTTAGGTAGGAGTCCAAGATGCATACAAGGACCATATCTGTGGTGGTGCTATTATCAATGAAAGATGGGTAATGACTGCTGCAAGCTGCGTCTATTTGTAGGTTATATCGTGATTCTTAAATAGTCACTAACGAAAAATAACAGGTTCAATGCAATCAATGATGTGTTATGCGTTGTACATGTATATGTGTATATTCCAGCATTGTGTGTTTACATTCATTAGTGACTGTTGCGTTTCCTGTTCAATGTTTCATAGATAATCTTTACCAGAGTCTGGTAATATTTAATTAGAACATTTCCACATTCTTCACTGTGATATTCCATCGGGGGATTTGATCATTTTCTGGTGATAATTTAAATTCAATTTATGTATTTTTCCACTTTTGCTAAAATTATAATGTTTAACTACTCCTTGAAAATTATAATTCACTCACGATCTAAAAGAGTTGGAAGATAAACACCGTCATACTTGGACGAATGCTAACGAGTGATTAAAATAGCTGTTGAACTACTGAAAAATAACAAAGCACCTGCTACAGATAGATTATCCAATGAAATTGTTAAATATTAAATGGGGTCAACCCTACCTCAAAAATGCATTTCATAAACTTTTTAATATTACAGTTGCCTTTTATATGTAGACGACATTGTAATTCTATCTGAAACTAAATTTTAAAACAGCGATGCAATGTTAACGCAGAAAAACATAAAATAATGGTTTCCAACAAAACTAACAAACTTTTAAGTGACATCATATTATTTCTATGAGGGTAGAGAATTAAATATAGTCAGGCACTTTAATTATTTGGTGATTACTCTAAGCACCAATGAAATCTTTAAAAAGAAGGAGACAAAAAGCTTTGTCTTCACGGAAAGAATAAGTTGATGATGAATCTACATTAAAAAGCAATGTTGTTCCTTTTCGATAAATTAATTAGACTAATACTGGTGTACGACATCACATGATTAGAAATCTTGGTCAATGTTATTTATTTAATCAGTTAAATAGTTAGTTGGTTGGATGTCTTGATCGTTTCACACTTGTAATTATTATTTCTTTCCAGTCAACGTGATCAACCTAGTCTTATTAATGTTCTTGTTGGTAACCATGACTACGAAGAACGTGAAACCCATGAACATTCGCATAATTTGTGGGACATTTATATACATCCATCGTTCTCCTTGTTGAAGCTAGACTACAATTTTGCTTTATTAAAGACTAAGTCAAAAATAGTTTTCAGTGATACTGTATCGGATATATGTGTGATACCGGGAGGGATTCAACACCCTAATGGAACTAAAGCTTGGTTTGCTGGTTGGGGTTATACAAATCCATCAGGTGAGTATTCATAAATGTTCTATTCAAAGAACCACGAGTTGCTTGTTTTACCATTCTTTTAAAATTAATGTTATACAGAGTAAATATAACTCACGTTGTTCCAAATGAATGAACACATCATGTAAGATGTCATTTCGACTCAGCACTATATGGATTAAAAAATTGACAAACGCAGTTCATGATTATTTCATTGAATTGTGGTTAATTTGGAGTGTACATGCTTAGTTGTCACATATTTAGATTGCTGTTTGTCACACATATTCTCAGTGAAATTAAATATGCATCAATTTTCGTTTTTTGTATTAGTTCAAGCATTTGGAAGTAGTGTTGTGATGCAAGCAGAAATGACAATCTATCATGACGACTTTTGTAATGATCCCAGTCGTTATGATGGCACGGTAGGCGCAGGTGAAATGTGTGCTGGATCGTTGGACGGTTCAGTTGGCGCTTGTGAGGTAGGTATTAATTATTTATACAATGATGGTCTATAATTTGAAGATTATATAAATGATCAACATAATTCCTGCTATTATTTCGGGAGTAATACGTTATACAATCGTCACAGGATTGTCTATATTTGTGTAAAATTCAACATTTTTGGTCTGGTGACAGTACTCTCTTACTTTTACGAAAGATCGTCAGTAATTCAAATTATTTGCGTTGAATGAATTCATGTGGTTTATCTTAAAAAAGATTTGAACGGTGTTTCCTGTGAAAATAACTTTAAATGTTATGAACGAATTCTCATACAATTGTTAGGATGGGTTTCCTTCGAAACAAGCACCAATAATTTATATTTCGGATTTGAACCGAAATGCAATGAAGACATACATTTTTGAAGGATTAATTGTTAATGCCAGATTAAGTCATTGATAATCTGTCATCAATAATTATCTGTTTATGGTAAATCCACCTGAACTTGAAATGAAAAACACAATCAATCTTCTAACTCATAACTTGATGTCATCTAAGCGTGACCCTTTTTACGACAAAAGAAATAAATCTCTCATCTTTATAGTAATATTCTACTTTATTCTATATTCTATTCTTATTCTATTCTGGCACATGTTTGATCAGCGGAAATAACACATAATGACTTGCACACGAGATGGCGTGACTTGGTGTGTCGACTTAGAGACAACTTCGCACATAATCTTATATTCTTGTGAAACACCATACCAAGCACATTTTTATGGGAGGATTTATTTATTACTACTCTCATTTGATATGACCTCTAGTTCAAATATATACTATTGTTTTGGTGAATTAAAACAATTCAAGTGTCATATGTTAGTTGATAGCTTCCAACTCTGAAATTCCTATCAAAAATGGCCAGTAATTCACTCCTACTCATGCCTAAACGTGTGGCAACTATGACAACCTTTCAAAGATTTAAAATTATCAAGATTATCAAGTATATTAATATTAATTTCAGGGAGATGATGGCGGGCCATTGGTGTGGTATAATGATGATCCTACTATTGGGCAAGTTAAGTGGTATATTTTGGCTGTTGCCGGTGCTCGTAATGAAGAAACGTGTGGCGTTCCAAACATGCCAGGACTGTATGGCGAAATACAAGACGTAACTTCCTGGATAAATGAAACACTGTATTATAATTAAATGTGTATTTGTATTACTGACAATACATGGTAATTGTTATTTCATACTAAGTCACATATAATCTATAGGCAATAAAGCACGAGTTATAATGAATTATGCTGGTACACGGTTTCATTAAAATCTCCCTTGCTGATTTGAATATATATGCATTGCGGGAATATTAGATAAATCATGCTTATTCCGAATTTCACTGTCAATCATTTGTGAATCCACCCCGATTCACCATTGATAAGCGCTGGGAGAGGCTATTATCTAATAGTCGTGTTGAAACATTCAATATTCCTCACAAAAACAATGGGCATGACACTTATTATATTAGACACCATCTAAACACAACAGGGCACTTGTTTATAATGAAACAGAAGTCGCTGTTGTCTTCATCTATTAAGTCGGATTTTGTTGTTGAACAACAACATAATCGAATTCAACGTTTAGCCTGCATATTAAATTTGTATGTTGTACTCTGTCTGAATAATAACTTTTAAGGCATAGGTATTGACAACTCCGGGGTGAATAATTAAACGCCAATATGCATCTAGGGAATCATCTGAGTGTACACAATGGAGCACAAAGTTCCAATTTTCTATTTTGAAATGATCTGGAGATGTACTAATGTGATCAAAAGAGAGTTTGGGCATGGTTTCACCCTCAAGGTGTTGTTTATGCCCCTGATAGTTAACTCAATTAAACTTTAAAATTACTAGATGGTACATCATCACTTGGCGCTAGACTCCGATGGGTTGACCAGCACAGATATGTTTTCCTTCTCAGGAAATGAGCTCTCCGGCCTAGCCCTCATTATGACATACATCAGTGAGATATATTGTTTTGCAAGTATAAACCAAACAAAGACCCTCCTAATGACAGTTTCTGAGAAATATTTTTCTGTTCAGTGAACAACTTATCTGCGTACTACTACAGTAGTTCCAAAAAATAGATGCAGAAATCATGAGTAAAGCTTGAAGGCTTTCATGCAATCGTTTCGACAATAAATCAGTAATATATGGTGAAAGGCAGTTCATATGGGTATGAACTTAATTAAAATTCAGGGGTGATGGCAAAGGATGTTTTACGATAATTTACAAGGAATTCCCTCGATTGAATTTGACAATATGCCCCAGCTTTTAGTTTGATTGACTCAACTATTTTAGTGTGTTAGCACAGTGATGCCAAGCAACAGGATTGAACTCAATTTGGAAATATGTAAATTCATTCTGGACACCTATGTGTTCATGATTTTCCACTCCCAGTTTCTATAAGATATCAAACTAAAAGCTATGCATGGCACAGTTCCCATTAGTTATCAAATTTGAGATATAAAGTTTTGTTTGTAGTAATAAAGTTTTAACATAAGAATGTCAGAGATGTGGATCCAGAAGCTGAATGTTGTATCTGACTGTCAAACAAGTACTCGAACCAATAGATCTGTGTATCTATGACATGATGTACAAAATAAGATTATATATATTATGCGGCGGCCATGTTGAATGTACTCAGCTAATTGAGCTCCTCAGTAACGTTGATTTTTATTGCCAAAGTGGTGTTATTATCCTTTGAAGAAAAGGTAATCTTATATCTTAAGAAGTTTCAAGATGTCTCGTATAGAGGATGAAGGGAAAAGAGTGTAAAAACCCTTAGACAAAATGGACAAAGTCACAACAACAAAGGGCAAAAAAGTCACCAAGAAGACAGGAAATAATCAAATGAAGAATATTCCTGCTAATGAAGAGATCTACACTGACTACAAGTCTGAAAGAGGTGAGCAAGTGCCATGCAACATTAAGTTTAAAACTAAACGCATATCGAGTTGGGTATATGCCATGAAACAGATGTACTCAGCATATGAGAAGAACAATGGAGTGTTAGTTAGTTGGGAGGAAGGATCTGAAAATGAAGTGGGTAGATTATCTATATCTGATGCCAATTCAACAGACTTGATAGATAGTCAAATCCTCAATATTGCTCTCTATAAAAGTGGTGGTATTTTGGTTCAATCCAAAGGTTTTATGAAGTGAAAAAACACAGACTACAGTGAACTCAAGTCTGCAGTTGATTCCTTGTGTAAACAAACAGATACACAAACCACAGCTAGCCACATGCAGCATGACCTTCAAGTTTGCTCAAATAAACAAACAGCAAACAACTTTCCACCAACACAAGTTACAGTACCAGTACAGGAAGATGACTCCTTGATGTCTGCAGTGGAAAACTCACCCTCATTAAAGAAAGCTCCTTCTATTACTACAATTACTTTTATATGTGTGAATACAAAAGTTACAGCATTGGAAAATTCAATTCATGATTTAGATGATAAATACTCTCAGCTTGTGGAAGATGTTCACACATTTAAAGGTACCAATGATGATGTCAGTAAGCTGGACAGTTCTATCAACAAATTTGACCGTGCAATTGATTGATTAATTTCCACTAATGATGAGAAAATTGGTTTATTAAATTCAAAAATTAATCTGATGCTTCAACAACAAGACAAAAAGGAGAGGACTTTCAAAGACCAACTTTCTGAGATGTCATGTGTCATAAATAAATTACAACAGAACAGAAGCAGAACTCATTGTGGTGAAAGAAGAAATACAACAACTTCATAGTAGAAATAAAGATCTGCAAGCAAAGTATGATATGTTAACTGCTGAAATGTTAGTAGTAAAAAGAGGACCTTAAAGTCGGCAGTCCTGATGATTTTAAAGTTGCAACACACACTTCAGGAAACCCAAGTCTATTAATACCATTTCGACAGTACATCTAGAAAATAAATATGATCTGCTGAATGATGTGATGATTGACGATGATAAGAAATGTGATGATGCGAAGATTGTGAATGGTAGAAACGTGGAGGAAACAAAAAATAAACAGTCTACACAAAACAATGAATCAGCAGATGTTGTACAAATTGGTAATTCACTAATTAGAAAGATCATACCAGAAAGGTTGCACCCAGATAGGAAAGT